TTATTCTCCCCCTTCCATTTCACTTCTAACACGGTACAAGGGTCAATATTAAGTCCTACATATATATATCTATATCTATATATATATATATTTATTTTTTTTTTCTTTTTGCCACTTTTCATGTCTATTTAAACCCATCGACTTCCCCACCGTTAAAATACCCAACTTCCATAATTATTCATCTTCAATTTTCTAATTTTCTAAAGGTTTGAGTTTCCAATTTTATTTTTATTATCTTATTCTTGACAGAGATTTTTATTGTGGTGTGAGGAAATAGTTGTGAGTGCTCCAAATTGTAAATCTACTTTCATAAAGTTGTGGTGTATTCCTACCAAATTCAAATACTTATATCGGTTTGATCCTACGCCGTAAAAATGATTGAATTTGCTCTTGAACTCGTGAAAAGAGCGGTGTAGCGGTTGGGCTCTGATCCGTAGAAAGAGTCGAGAAAGTTCTTTTTACAAATTCTCAAGAAGCGCTTGGGAAGAGGAGTAGGTCGAGTTTGATCGAACCACTATAAAACTGGGTGTCATATTTTTAACTATTTTCTATTTAATTTCAAAATTATTATTGTGACTTATTCCATGTTTTAAGTTTCTTTTGGTTGATTGTTAGTTTGACCTCAACTGTCTTGTTATTAGTGTAGCGGTTGGACTCTGATCTGTATAAAGAGTCGAGAAAGTTCTTTTTACAAATTCTCAAGAGGCGCTTGGGGAGAGAAGTAGGTCGAGTTTGACCGAACCACTATAAAATTACGGTGTCATATTTTTAACTCTTTCCTATTTAATTTCAAAATTATTATTGTGACTTATTCCATGTTCTAAGTTTCTTATGGTTGATTATTAGTTTGATCTGATCTATCTTGTTATATAAATTTTCTTTTTCTACTTATTTGTAAAAAGTTTCCTAATTAGAAAAATTAATCAAGCTTAAATACTGTTATAGTTAAAACCCTATTCACCCCTAGGGTTGCCATACCGATCCAACACTAGACTAGATGGTCTCCCTTATAAGAACCTTAGCCCATGTAATGAAAGCCCTATGTAATCGAGAAGTGCCTATCAACATACAAATAGGCTTAAACACTTGCGAGAATAATATTTTCGAGTAAACAAAATGGAAATGCGCATCCAGCGATTCGAACCTCGATTAGTATCATGGGAGGGTACTATGATACCACTGCACTAGATGTACTCCCTTTTAAGAATATTAGCTCGTGTAATGAAAGCCCAATTTAACTGAGGAGTTAACTGCCTTTCGACATACAAATGAAAATGTACCAAGAATCTTTTTCCATGGAAATCCGAGGCCGACTTAAACACTTTCGAGAACAATATTTTTGAATAAATAAAATGGAAATGCGCATATCCGGGGAACGAATCTCGATCAGTACGGTGGGAGGGTACTATGATACCACTACACTAGATGCGTTCCCTTATAAGAATCTTAGCTCATGTAGTGAAAGCCTAAAGTGCCTTTCAACATACAAATGAAAGGTTACCAAGAATCTTTTCTACTAAGAATCCTTGACCGACTTAAACAATTTCGAGAATATTAACAATTTTGAGAATAATATTTTCGAATAAGTAAAATGGAAATGCTTATCCCATTGAGTATTGTGGGAGGGTACTATGATAGAATTACATTTGATGCGCTCCCTTGTAAGAATCTTAGGCCATGTAATGAAAGCAAATAATCTTTTCCCAGGAGCATCATAGGCCGATTTAAACACTCTTGTGAACAATATTTTCAACATAGGCCGATTTAAACACTCTTGTGAACAATATTTTCAAATAAATAAAATTGAAATGCGCATGGGGAATCAAATCAGGGGCATTGTATGAATCTTACCCCATGTAATGAAAGCCCTGTGTAACCTAGCAGTTAAGTCCGTTAGTCATGGCCTATGACTAAGGGTTTGTAGATAAAATGGAAATGCGCATCCAAGGAATCAAACCCCGGTTGCTAACGTGGGAGAGTACTATGATACCACTACACTAGATGCGCTCCCTTGAAAGAATCTTAGCTCATGTAATGAAAGCCCTACTTAAACTGTAACGACCCGAAATTTTCTACTTAATTTAAGGTCGCTACTGTATACGTACCATAAACATTGAATGCGAAAGACTTTATTAAAATTTCATAAAACATAACCTTTATTTTAAAACACAGCCATAGACTTACGTGTTTGGAAAACATCTTTAAAACGACACAACAAAAGACTAAATAAAATGAATAAGATTTCAAGTTAAAAACATCCTAGTCTAGCCTAAGTCTAAGGAAATAAATACCACTACCATATGCATGTGCAATGGTCTCGAGTTGCGATGTCGTCGTCAGCCGTACAGGAATGCCTTGCCTTAACCTGAAAAATGTAGTAGCACATGACTTGAGTATTTAAAGAAATACTCAGTAAGTGGCCCCACTATTAGGGTTAAATGCAACAATCACATGCAATGAAATGATAGGACCTATCTTTCGTTTTGTTTCGTTTCTTTTTCCCTACGGTGCTGTCCTAACGGGTAATTTTGGACGTGTACCATATACTCTACACACAGCCCATACGTGCCAGTATGGGCTTACTAGCCAGTTCGCACACCGCTAGGCCACTTTCCTTATCCAGTGGGCATACTCTAGGAGCCTCTTATGTCGGGACCCGTTAGAACTAGTAACCGTCACAGCAGCGCTATGCAAAGCGTAACGATCGTTGTCCTGCCATTGGATGTACGCGTCCGTAACCTTGTGATAGAATAGGGTTATCCCCCCAAATGCATGAGCACACATAATGCATGAGGTCCCAAAACTTTTCCATTTTCATTATTCTTTAATACAACCCCGCTAGCATTATGTACATATCATATCATTTTTCATATCGTTTCAGATATCGTTCATCATTCATATCATAACGTTTCTCATTCTTCAGTTCTCAAATCATACATAATTCTAACGGGGGTTATATTTCATGCCATTTATCGTAATTTCATGTCATTCATATCATATTGTATACACACAATTTAAGAGACCTAACGTAACATTCTATGCTTTTAACATAACATTTCATCATATACACATCATACCATGATATATTGCATCACAATGTATCATATCATAAACAAGTCATAACGTAAATCGTAGTCATATCGTTTTATAACTTATCATAGCCTTAACGTTCTTATACCTATCACAAACATATCATTACGTGAACGTACCTCAGTCATATCATCACAAGAACATAACCTAATGCTATCGCTCTATCAATCCTAACGCTATCGTTCTATCAATCTATCACAAACCTATCCCTTTCTACCCGTAGCCTAACCGTATTCTTCCATCCATCTCTCTTATCCATATCACTCCGGTATGTAACCTAACCTTAACATTTCATGAACGTATTTTACTCCTATCATTACATTTCGTTTTGTGCATCCTTCTCTAAGAATGTTTGATTAATCCACCACACTTAAATGGTGTGAAAGCTATCTTATTTATAATCAAATAAATTACAAGGATATGGAAATAGTAATAAATGGAAATAACAATAAATGGAAAGATACCTATGGTAATAAGGCAAATATTAGATATTGTCTTATAATAAAATATCAAATATAATATATATGGTAAACTATAATTTATTACTAAATATCCTTAACACCCCACCGCAAGCTAAGCGTCGGATTTAAATGAAAGTGAAGCTTGAATCTAAAAAATTCAAAGAGGTTGAGAAACACTTTTTGTGCAGATGTTAATCTGTTTCAGAGGAGGCTCTTTCTTGGCCATCAAAAATTGCAGAGGGATCGCCGCTTAGCGACGATTCTGCCTTGGCTCTGGTGAGAATATGTCTAACTCCAAGAAGTAGAAGGGGAAACCTAGAGCAAGGGACAAAGACAATGTTGAAGCCGGAAGAGTCGCCACATTGGGCGAAGGAGCCAATTTTGGCAGGAAGGGCGGCGACAACTTGGTTGGCGAAGAGGCCAGTTCGACGCCTAGATTTCGAAGGTAAATCTCTACAAAAGGTTGATGGGCTTGTCGAGATTTCATATATTTCTGAAGAGAACACTGATGAGGATCCTGAGATTAGGGTTTCTGTGAAGGATGAAAGGTTGATTGGGAAGAAAATAAGAGAGACTATATTGGCCAAGGGAAAACCGTTTGGGTTGGAAAATGTGAGGTTGTATGTACAGAGTATGACGAAAGGTGATTTGGAGGTCAATAGGGGTGGAGACGAAGAGTAATCAATCGGCTCCTCCTGCGGCAGCCATGAAGACTGCCCTTGCAGTGTCAAAGCCAGCAGGGGTGGTGGAGAAGAAGATTAGAGGATTCAAAAGCCATTGAAAAGAAAGGATCGGGGTTGTTAAACTGAGAGGGCTCTTATACCATAAGAATGTTTGATTAATCCACTATACCTAAATCATGTGAAAGTTATCTTATTTATAATGAAATAAATTACAAGGATATGGAAATAGTAATAAATGGAAATAACAATAAATGGGAAGATACCTATGGTAATAAGGAAAATATTAGATATTAGATATTTGTCTTATAATAAAGTATCAAATATAATATATATGGTAAACTATAATTTATTGCTAAATATCCTTAACATTCTCGTATCATATCTCAAACATATCATTGAACACATCGTACCGAAAATTATTATCAAACATTTCACATATTATAACATATACATAACAAATAAGAAGCCTATCGATCCACAAACAATTCACACATATCAATATATATGACACGTGCAGAACCACGGGGCACGTGTCAACAGCAAATATAACCATGCCGATAGTGAGGTCACTTACCTGGTTAGCTTAGGTCGATGCTCCGTCGTTATCCTTAATGAAAGTCCATTGAAATCCAAGTCAACCTTTGGGAGCCCATGACATCAATTTCAGGTTTGAACTCTACAACATAATTTCTCTAATTTACATTGGTCCATTGTTAAAATTCTTGAAATGCTATATATCTATAATTATATTTTTATTAAAAATCTTAATTTTCATGGTTACTATTGTATAAGGAGGTAGATACAGCTCTTTAAGTTATTCTAGGATTTACTACTCTCTTTATTTACCTCTCTCTCCTTATTTGGTTTGTGTTTTTAATTTCTTAATCTTCTTTTTTTTTATTTGTTGCCTTTTAATTCTGTTATCATGTATTACAAATTTCTAGTGAATCTCTGTTTCCAAATCTTTATCTTAGTATTTCCTATTCAGAAGTTTTATTGGTCATTCTATTTTTAATCTATTCATTTGGCTACCGATAAAAATGATTGACATTTAATTTCTAACTCAGCTAAACCATTGTAATAATTCAATGGCTGTGATTTCTAATAAAAAATAGAATAAAAGAAATTGAAGATTTAATATATACTTTATTCATCAGATCTATCTTCATGTGAATCTATGATGAATCTCAACTGTGTAAAGGTCATTCTCATTTTTTTTTTCTCAAGTAAATCCGGTTGTTTTTCGATAATCAGCCAGAGAAATTCGGTGAGAGGAAATTGTCGACGTAGGTTGTTGGAAGAAAAATAAAATGCTTAAAAGAAAAGAGAGAGAATGACTTAAATTTTGACTGCATTCAAAATCAGGTTATTCAATATTATGAACACATTTCCTATTTAAATATAAACTATCCTAAAAATGGCTGAAGAGTGGACAACTAAATCTGTGCTACTCCCTACAAAATTGCCGTCTAAAACTTTGGTGATCCATTCGAGGTATTTTGTCAAATGGTCAAACGGAGTTATTCTGAAATCGTGTGAATCTAAATAAGGAAAAACTGAAAAAAACCAGGTTTTATCTAACAATCTCCTACTAAAACCGGTGGTATATCTACCTTATTCGATCTTTGAGCGTAGTTCTTCAAATTTCACCCGCGCTAGGGACTTGGTGAAAATGTCTCCAAGTTGTTCCTCTGTTCGGATGTAATTGCCAGCAGATTGCGTCACCTGAGAGAAAGTAGATCATTCAGCTAGTGCTCTTATGATCATCAACGTCACCGGCCATGTCACTATCACTGTAGCCAACCATCTTGAGTTTCTCCTTTCCGCTACCTGCGCAGTATCTTACACCCCAGCCTCTGATTCTGGCTACATAGCGCAGGATGCTCTTGACAGCCAATAGATGCTCCTCCCTAGGTACTTCGATGCTCTTGACAGCCACTAGATGCTCCTCCCTAGGTGCTTCCATAAACCAGCTCACATATCCAACAGAATAAGCAAGATCAGAACGAGAGTTTACCAGATAGCGCAGAATCCCGACAATGCTGCGGTAATTGGTGGAGTACCCTTGAGGTATATAATACACAACTAACTTACTTAACACAAATCAGACATACAATTTTATAAATCTCATATTACTCTCTTACTCTCTTTCTCTTTCTCTACTATCAAATACATCTTGTGGTCCTGTTTCACCGGGAAGTGGCGCATTTGTGTGTCTATCACACTCTTGAAATCATCCCATGATAGATACTACGTTCATATGATTCAGAGCGGTACGTTGACTCTATTTACGCCGTTCTCCAGAAAAGGTAATTCGAACCATAGTTCTTTTACTCTGATTATATTCTGGAGGAGACTTGATCACTACATGGTTGAGACCTGCACAAAATTGAACAGGGATCTTCCACCCACGTAATCCGTAGGAGTGGGCAACAGGAGGTCTGAGTCTTCGTCTTAACCGTCAGATAACTCTGGATCTAGGGTTCAATCCCATAGGTGGCTAATCCTCTTTTTGGAGTGGGACAGAATTACGCAATTTCTGTATAAACCCACATGCCTTTTCTGCCATTTCAGTATAATAATCTGCCATTTCAGTATAATAAAGCCTATTACCCACAGCAGGCGTAGTACTTTATTGGGGTTTTCGTTGTCCAGGAAGCCAGGTGATTGTCGGACATAGACAGTCTCTTCTTCAAACCTCTGTTAAGGAAAGCAGACTTTACGTCCATATGGTGAAGTAATGTGCCACAATTGCCAGCAAGAAACGAACGGATTTCTAACCTTGTTAATGTTGTTGGATTCCCGCACTCGCTATAACGCCGACCCGACGAGATTTGATTCCCTTCCAAGCCGATTGCGCAGTGCGCTTGGTGGAGAGAGCATCTCTGGGGGCAAATATCGTAATATGGTGGCGACGAAACGCCAGCAGCCAGCCGATCCTCACGGTACTCGATCGTTTCTCCTACCTCTGGGCTCGACAGCATGCCATAACCCTTGCGCCTGTAGGTTGACGCGCATCATCAAGATCCATTCGTTATAGTTGAACTTTGTCAATAACGTCGGCGTGGAGGAGTGGAGTGAGCCTACCCGAGATGGGCCCCACGATGTGTGTGTTTTTACACTTTGCATTTTCTTCTACTCGAACTTGAGACTTGTGTGTTGTTAGATCGATGCTCTAACGACTTGAGCTATTAAATTTGTGTTGATAGGTTGGCTCCTCTACAATGATATACACCGATGGCTTCAACCTGGCTCTGATACCACTTGTTGTTTTTCAATAATTAGCCCGAGAAATTCGGTGGGAGGAAATCGTCGACGGAAGGTTGTTGGAAGAAAAATAAAATGCGTAAAATAGAAGAGAGAGAATGGCTCAAAATTAGATTATTCAATATTCTGAACAGATTCCTATTTAAATATAAACTCTCCTAAAAATGGTTAAACAGAGCTATTCTGAAATCGTGTGAATCTAAATAAGGAAAAACTGAAAAAACCCGGGTTTTATCTATCCGACCATTATTGTTTTTCTGTTTCTTTGTGTAGTAACTATTACTTTATGGCTTATGTTTCTTTGTGCAGCAACTGTTACTTTCTGGCGTAAGGATGGGTTGAGGAGAGATAATTCAACTGAGTAAAGGAGATTCTCATTTTTTTTTTTTCTCAAGTAAATCTGACAATTATTGTTTTGCTATTTTTTTTTGTGAGTAATTGTTACTTTCTGGATAAGGATGGGTTGAGGAGAGATAATTGTGGGTGTTAGATGAAAGTGTCCCACATTGGTTAAGTTAGGGAATGATCATGGGTTTATAATCTAAGAATATACTCTCCATTGGTATGAGGTCTTTTGGGGAAGTCTAAAGCAAAGCCATGAGAGCTTACACTCACTCAAATGGACAATATCATACCATTGTGGAGAGATTAGAGCCATGCCCTAAACTTAGCCGTGCCAATAGATTGACAAATCCTCGAATGTCGAACAAAGAACTCCAAAATGAAAAAAGGAGAGGAGTAGGATCGAACCACTATAAAACTACGGTGTCATATTTTTAACTCTTTCCTATTAATTTCAAAATTATTATTGTGACTTATTCCATGTTCAAAGTTTCTTAGGTTTGATTATTAGTTTGATTTGAACTATCTTGTTATATTAATTTTCATTTTCTACTTAGTTGTAAAAAGTTTCATAATTAGAAAAATTAATCAAGCTTACCCTTATCCACCCCTAGGGTTGCCATACCGATCCAACACTTGATGCGCTCCCTTCTAAGAACCTTCTAAGAACCTTAGCCATGTAATGAAGACCCTATGTAACTGAGGGGTTAAGTGCTTTTCAAGATACAAATGAAAAGGTTACTAATAATCTTTATTCACCCCTTAGGGTTGCCATACTGATCCAACACTAGATGCGCCCCCCTATGTAACCGAGGGGTTAAGTGCCTTTCGAGATACAAATGAAAAGGTTACCAAGAATCTTTTGCCCATTTGAATCCTAGGCTGCCTTAAATAATGTCGAGAAAATATTTTCGAGTAAACAAAATGGAAATGTGCATACAGAGAATTGGACCTCAATCGGTAACGTGAGAGGGTACTATGACAACACTACACTAGATGCATTCCCTTGTAAGAATATTAGCCCATGTAATGAAAGCCTATGTAATCGAGAAGTGCCTTTCAACATGCAAATGGGCTTAATCACTTTCGAGAATAATATTTTCAAGTAAACAAAATGGAAATGCGCATCCAGCGATTCAAACCTCGGTTAGTACTATGGGAGGGTACTATGATACCACTACACTAGATGCACTCCCTTGTAAGAATATTAGCTCATGTACTGAAAGCCCAATTTAATCGAGAAGTTAAGTGCCTTTCGACGTACAAATGAAAATATACCAAGAATCTTTTTCCATGAAAATTCGAGACCGACTTAAACACTTTTAAGAACAATATTTTTGAATAAGTAAAATGGAAATGCGCATATCCGGGGAATCGAATCCCGATCAGTACAGTGGGAGGGTACTATGATACCACTACACTAGATGCGCTCCCTTATAAGAATCTTAGCTCATGTAATGAAAGCCTGAAGTGCTTTTCAACATATAAATGAAAGGTTACCAAGAATCTTTTCCGCGGAGAATCCTTGACCGACTTAAAAAATTTCGAGAATAATATTTTCGAATAAGTAAAATGAAAATGCTTATCCTGGTGAGTACCGTGGGAGGGTACTATGATAGCATTACACTTGATGCGCTCCCTTGTAAGAATCTTAGGCCATATAATGAAAGCCCTATGTAAGTGAGGGGTTAAGTGCCTTTGGACATACAAATAAAAGGTTACCAAGAATCTTTTCCCATGAGCATCATAGGTCGACTTAAACACTTTCGAGATCAATATTTTCAAATAAATAAAATTGAAATGCGCATCGGGGAATCAAACCACGGTCATTGTATGAATCTTAGCCCATGTAATGAAAGCCCTATGTGTAAGGACCAGGCTGACTCGATGACTCTAAAAGACGGGTAAAATTTTTAACAAAATTAAACAACCAAAGTTTATAACATATCAAATATTATATCAAAATAAAGATGATACAAAGTATTTTAAAACAGAACACAACACAACAGTTAAAACACAAGTTAAGGGACGACACAAAAGGGTTGAAGTACGACGAGTGAGGTTTGTCTATGGCACCTGCTCCAGAGTCAGCTCCCGACCTCGACCAACTCCTTATTTCCTGAAAAAAAATGGAGAATAAGGAATGAGTACAAGACTCCGTAAGCAGCGTACTTGTAGGCTCTTAATTGTTTCCTTGATATGCTAGGGTACACACTTTTTCTTTTCATGTTCTTGTTTTTGTTCTTGTTCTTGTTGTAAATTCTTGTTATATTTCTTAATTCGTTCTCCAAGACACTCCCCTTAGGAGTTACGGTACTAGACATAAACTTGTCATCCTGTGTTCGAGACTTCATGCGTTCCAAGCGACACAGTCTTAATACCTACGCTCAAGGCTTCATACGTTCGAAGCAGCGTAGTTTAAGTAAAAAGCATGATGTACCGTGCAAGGACTTAAGAGGTTCTTGATTCATGACTAGGGTAACTTACTCTCTTCTTGCTCCATTGTGGCCATAGGTACTCCCCATGATAGACCATAAAGGTCACGTGATCGATGCATGCATGAACCTAGCATAGACCATAAAGGTCATGTGATCGATGCATGCATGAACATGGCATAGACCATAAAGGTCGCTTAATCTAACATAGACCATATAGGTCGTGTGATCGGTGCATACATGAACATGGCATCGTGTAAATCATAACATGGCACAGGGAATCTCATTTAGGTGGGGGAATGAGGCCAAGCATGACATCCTGCAAAAGAAACATGGTGCAGGGCATCCCACCTAGAAGAGGAAAAAGGCCTCCTTAGAAAGCACCGCATGGTGGGAGTTATGGGCCACAATTAGACATGCTTAGAGTAATACCTAGCATTCTTGAATTTTCATGTCTAAGGACTTTAGTCCTCATCTTTGAGTGGTACCTAGCATTCTTCTTATCTTGGTAGTTGTAAAGCGTGTTTGGTAATGTTCTTGGCTCTTAACCTTGTAAGTTTCTAAGGTTCTTATTTTCTTGAAGCATAACTTGTAACATGCATTCGTAATCATATGAACCCATCTTAGCGTGAGTTGTTCTAGAAGATCATAGATTCATAGGGAGTTTTTAGAGGGTTCTAGAAGAGTCTTGAATCTGATATGTTTTCTTTAGGCGTTTCCTTAAGTTCTATCTTGGCTTATGTTCCAAACATGCTTCAACCAACTTGAACCCTTAGCTTATCCTTGTGTCATATAAAATAGACCTTATAGGACATGGTTGGTGATTTGGAGCATATTTAGACCTTGAGCTAGGATATGACTTCTTGTTTCGTTTTCAAGAACTAACCCTTAGAGGTTGTCATGTCATATATCGTGTTTTGGTCCTGAAAACACTTTCAAAGTAACCCTTAGTTTTCTCCCCATGAGTGCATAGGTGACATTATCATAAACGTGGCATCCTGCTGGCACATCGAGTTGCAGGGCATCTCACCAAAAGAGGAATAGGGATCTCGTGGTACACTTCATGATGGGAGATAATGGTTACTCTAGGCATGGATCCTAGCAACTTGTTAAGCATACCATCTACATTAACCTAGGCGTTTCTTTGTTTTCTTGGGGATCCTAGGTTTATGCATAACGTCTTGGGTCAAGCGTGGAACTTAAAGGTTCTTCTTAGGAATAGCCCAATGTAACCTTGTGCACTTAGAATCTTATTAACAACCAAGGGTACCTGTGGGAAATCTCTTATTTCATGGGTACCTCGTTAGCCATCCTAGGAGGTAAAGTCTTGTGGATCGTGATGTACATTTTTCCTCATATCTTGCTTTCACTATCTAACGTTTCCCAATGACTCCCAAACTTCATTAATTTATATAACAACTTGAGATAAGGATTAATACAACATTTCAGAACGTTGAGAGGTCATTTAGGGCTTAACCCGTCGGTAGTCTTCGTTAGGGGCATTACGGTAATTTTTCCCTAATTCTTGGTTTTGCTACTTAACGAGTTCCAATAGATTTCAAACATCACCAGCTCATCAAGAACCATAAAATAAGATCTATAGTAGAGTTTGATAGCATTTGGAGGTCATCTTGGCCATGAACGGTAGGTAGATATCCTTAGAGGCATCATGGTAATTTTTTCCCATTTCTTGGTTTACCTACTTATCCTTATCTAATGACCACCAAATTACATACATAACCTTAAAATTTTATAATATGCTCAGCTTTAAAATTTCATAGGTATTAGAGCTCATTTAGTTATTTATCTTAACGTTCTTTATATCCCGAGCAATTTGGTTAGTTTAGGGCCTTAACTCAAGATTCTTTGTATTTTTCTTTCATATATCCTTGTGTCATACTTGGTTTAGGGTTCATATGAAATTCTAGCGATTCCTACAAGTATTTCCTTAAGAAAAGTCCAAGGTTGCTACCTACCTCATCGTTGACGTTCGGGACCTCTGTTCTTGAGCTTCCGGTATCCAAATTACTTCACATTTCCTTCCATAGACTCCTTATTGTGTCTCGTTTTTTGGAACCATAAGGTTTGTCATGAGAACCGGCCTGTAAGGGGGTTAAAATTGAGAAACACCGAGGGAGGGTCAGATTTTGGGCTAACTTGAACCGGCCACGTCATTGTTTTCTTCCTCTGGACAGGAAGAAGAGGCGCACGTCCTTTGCGCCGCCGTCTGAAAGTGGCCTTCCACAGCCCCGATATCTTCGTTTCTCCTCTCGATTTCTTCATGAAACTTAACAGTGGTGTTATAAGGAAGAGGTTGAGATTGATTTCATACCTTTTTGTGGATCATAGCCTAAGATATTCGCCTCCAAAGTTCGTCCGAAATCATTTTCCATCCGGAGCTAAAACAGGGGATTTCTTATCGAGTAGCTGATTCTAGGGGTTTTCAAGACCCGATTTCTTCATGGTACCTCTTCCATATACTTTCCTCATGCTATAGGAATTGGTTTAGAGGAACGTCTTTGAGTGTGGGTCCTTAATTTCGAGAAATCATTTTGGGTATGCAACTCACTTGAAATGTCGGATAATTTGTCGGAAAATTCTCTCCAAACAGGGCTTTACCGACTATAGTTTTGAATACCAGCCATTGGATGTGATGATCTAGGGAAGATCCAACCGCCGATATTTTGCTCATCTTATCCAAATTTAGGGAAGATTTTGGTCATTTGCCACTTTCCGAATATTTTAATCTAGATATTCTCCATCCCTTTTGGTCATTTTCGCTTCCTCCATATTTTGCTCATTTGCTCATCTTATCCAAATTTAGGGAAGATTTTGGTCATTTGCCACTTTCCAAATATTTTAATCTAGATATTCTTCATCCCTTTTGGTCATTTTTGCTTCCTTTTCCTTTTTCCAAAGGCCTCAACTACTTAAGATTACTTGTTAGGATATAGGAGATTTTGGTCATTTGCCACTTTCGGAATATTTTAATCTAGATATTCTTCATCCCTTTTGGACATTTTCGCTTCCTTTTCCTTTTTCCAAAGGCCTCAACTCCTTAAGATTACTTGTTATGATATAGGAGTGACTTCTTAAGATCCCCGTCCCTAATTTCCCCTTTTGATCCGTCATGGGCGGTGTATATTCTTATGGGAGCTAATTTCCTTCATTTTTGGGGTGTTACACTATGGAACCTAGCAGTTAAGTCTGTTAGTCATCTTAGCCTATGACTAAGGGTTTGTAGTTAAGTCACGCTCCAACAAGCCTGGGAACAATATTTTCAAATAAATAAAATGGAAATGCGTATCCAGGGAATCAAACCCCGACCAGTAACGTGGGAGGGTACTATGATAACAGTACACTAGATGCTCTTCCTTGTAAAAATCTTAGCCCATGTAATGAAAGTCCTACTTAAACACTTTCAAGAACAATATTTTCGAGTAAACAAAATGGAAATACGCATCTAAGGAACCAAACCCTAATTAATACCGTGGGAGGTTACTATGTTACCCCTACACTAGATGCGCTCCCTTCTAAGAATCTTAGCCCACTTAAAGAAAGCCCTATATAACCGGTCACGCACTCCCTTGTAAGAATCTTATCCCAGATGCGTATCGGGAATCAAACCTCGTCCTTGCTTAATCCTCTTATCTCCCCTTTTGATCCTTCATGGGCCCAAAGGGCTTAACTCCTTAAGATTACTTGGTAGGATATAGGAGTGACTTCTTAAGATCCTCGTTCTTGCTCCCATTTTTATCCTTCATGGGCCCAAAGGCCTTAACTCCTTAAGATTTTAGGATATATAGGAAAGGCCTTAACTCCTTAAGATTTTAGGATATATAGGAGGTGACTTCTTAAGATCCTCGTTCCTCTTAATTTCTCCCCCTCCCCCTCTTAATTTCTCCCTTTTTGATCCTTCATAGGAGCCATATTCTTAATGAGAGCTAATTTCCTTCATCTTAGACTATGACTAAGGGTATGTAAGATTTTAGGATATATAGGAGTGACTTCTTAAGATCCTCGTTCCTCTTAATTTCTCCCTAGGTCATGCTCCAACAAGCCCGAGAACAGTATTTTCAAATAAATAAAATAGAAATACACATCGAGGGAATCAAACCCCAACCAGTAACGTGGGAGGGTACTATGATACCACTACACTAGATACGCTTCCTTGTAAAAATCTTAGCCCATTTAATGAAAGCCCTACTTAAACACTTTCAAGAACAATATTTCCGAGTAAACAAAATGGAAATGCGCATCTAAGGAACCAAACCCTAATTAATACCGTGGGAGGGTACTATGTTACCACTACACTAGATGCGCTCCCTTCTAAGAATCTTAGCCCACTTAAAGAAAGCCCTATATAAAGGCGGGGTTAAGTGCCTTTTGACATACAAATGAAAAGGTTACCAAGACCGACTTAAACTCGAGAAAAATATTTTCAAGTAAACAAACTTGACGTGTGCATCCGATGAATCGAACCCTAGTCAATACAGTGGGAGGGTACTATGATACCACTACACTAAATGCTCTCCATTTTAAGAATTTTAGCCCATGTAATGAAAGCCCTATATAACCGCAAGAATCTTTTTCCATGAGATTCTTGACTTAAACAATGTCAAGAACAATATTTGCGAGTAAAAAATATGGACATGCACATCCAAGGAATCGAACCCTCCCTTGTAAGAATCTTAGACCACGTAAAGAAAGCCCTAGGTAACCAAGGGGTTAAGTGCCTTTTGAAATACAAATGAAAAGGTTACCAAGAAATCTTTTGCCATGAGATTCCTAGACCGACTTAAACACTATCGAGAACAATATTTTTGAGTAAACAAAATTGATGTGCGCATATCCGGGGAATCGAACCCTGGTCAATACCGTGGAAGGGTACTACGATACCACTACAATTGACGCGCTCCCTTATAAGAATCTTAGTCCACGTAAAGAAAACCCTATGTAACGGAGGGGTTAAGTGCCTTTTGATATACAAACGAAAAAGTTTTCAAGAATCTTTTTCCATGAGATTCCTAGACCGAATTAAACACTATCGAGAACAATATTTTCGAGTAAACAAAATTGACGTGCGCATTCGGGGAATCGAACCCCGATCAGTACAGCGGCAGGGTACTATGATACAACTACACTAGATGCGCTCCCTTTTAAAAATCTTAGCCCAGGTAAAGAATGCCCTGTATAACTGAGGGGTTAAGTGCCTTTTGACATACACATGAAAAAGTTACCAAGAATCTTTTAAAATGAGATTCCTAGACCAACTTAAACACTATCGTTTACAATATTTTTGAGTTAATAAAATGGACTTGCGCATCTTATGATACCACGTAAAGAAAACCCTATGTAACCGAGGGTTTAAGTGCCTTTTGACATACAAATGAAAAGGTTTCCAAGAATCTTTTGCCATGAGATTCCTAGACCGACTTAAACACTATCGTGTACAATATTTTTGAGTAAACAAAATGGACGTGCGCATCCGGGGAATCGAACCCCGGTCAGTACCGTAGGAGGGTAATATGATACCACTACACTAGAAGCACCACCTTTAAAGATTCTTAGCCCACGTAAAGAATTCCCGATATAACCGAGGGGTTAAGTGCATTTTGACATACAAATGAAAAGGTTACCATGAATCTTTTGCCATGAGATTCCTAGACCGACTTAAACACTATCGTTTACAATATTTTTGAGTAAACAAAATGGACGTGCGCATCCAGGGAATCGAACCCCGGTCAGTACCATGGAAGGGTACTATAATACCACGTAAAGAAAGCCCTATGAAACCGAGGGTTTAAGTGCCTTTTGACATACAAATGAAAAGGTTACATAGAATCTTTTGCCATGAGATTCCTAAACCAACTTAAGAACTATCGTGTACAATATTTTTGAGTAAACAAAATGAACGATGATACCATCGTAAAGAAAGCCCCATGTAACCGAGGGTTTAAGTGCCTTTTGACATCAAATGAAAAGGTTACCAAGAATCTTTTGCCATGATATTCCTAGACCGACTTAAACACTATCAAGAACAATATTTTTGAGAAAACAAAATTGACGTGTGCATCCGGGGAATTGAACCCCGATCAGGATAGTGGGAAGGTACTACAATACCACTACACTAGATGCGCTCCCTTTTAAGAATCTTAGCCCATGTAAAGAATGCCCTATGTAACCGAGGGGTTAAGTGCCTTTTGACATACAAATGAAAAGGTTACCAAAAATCTTTTGCCATGAGATTCCTAGACCGACTTTAACACTATCGAGAATAATATTTTCGAGTAAACAAAATGGACGTGCACATCTGGGAATCGAACCTCGGTCAATACCGTAGGAGTGTACTATGATACCACTACACTAGATGTACTCCAGCCCTATCTAAGTGAGGGGTTAAGTTCCTTTTGACATACAAAAGGAAAGGTTACCAAGAATCTTTTTCCATGAGATTCCTAGACCGACTTAAACACGGTCGAGAACAATATTTTCAATTAAACAAAATTGACATGCACATCGGGGAATCAAACCTTGGTCAATACCGTGGGAGGGTACTATGATACCAATACACTTGATGCGCTCCCTTTTAAGAATCTTAGTCCATGTAAGGAAAGCCCTATGTAACCGAGGGGTTAAGTTCCTTTTGACATACAAATGAAAAGATTACCTAGAATCTTTTGCCATGAGACTCCTAGACCAAATTAAACACCATCGAGAACAATATTTTCGAGTAAACAAAATTGACGTACACATCCGGGGAATCGAACCTCGATCAGTACCGTGGGAGGGTACTATGATACCACTACACTAGATGCACTACCTTTTTAGAATCTTAGCCCATGTAAAAAATGCCCTATGTAACCGAGGGGTTAAGTGCCTTTTGACATACAAATGAAAAGGTTAAATCTTTTGCCATGAGATTCCTAGACCGACTTAAACACTATCGAGAAAAATATTTTCGAGTAAACAAAATGGACGTGCGCATCTGGGGAATCGAACCACGGTCAGTACCGTAGGAGGGTACTATGATACCACTACAATAGATGCGCTCCAGCCCTATCTTATCGAGGGGTTAAGTTCCTTTTGTCATACAAAAGGAAAGGTTACCAAGAATCTTTTGCCATGAGATTCCTAGA